GTTTGATATGCTCCCTTTCCAGAAACTCCAGTGCCACAGACACATTTTCCAGTTTCATCTGGCGGAAGTTGGGTCTGATGTGGTGCTTTCTGTACATTTTCTTCTGGCTCAAAACCTCCAGGAGTGAAATTAGCTTCAGCCCATCAGTAAATTCCCTCTGGAGATCGGTGATGGTCTTGTTGACGCACTTGAGGTGCTCGTTGCACCACCTGGTGAAGGTGTTCTGCTGGATCTTCTTCCAGGGCGCGTCCTCGGCCAGGTCCTTCTCCCCGGCTGGCATCTCGTCGTCCTCTTCTTCCCCAAAGTCTGTGGCCTGGTAGTACTGTGGAGGCGGCTGGTCGTCGCTGTAGTTATTGCTCATCATGGTGGCGTTTTCCGTGTCCACTTTTATACCTCGGTGACACTTAAGTGTTGAATTGTGCGCAGAAAACTTTAGCAGGAGGACGGCAAGCGCGCTCTCGCGGAGGAAAGTTCACCCTTTTGGAGAGTTCAAAAAGCAGCCTAGAGATTTTTCGGATGTACTTGCGAAGAAACCACTTATGTCAAGACAGTGATGGATTAAAACATCCGATGGACAATGGGCAAGGCAGCTGGTCGTCCGCTTTTTTTAAATTGGCACCCTCTTGTGAAGTCGTTCCTCTCTTATAGCTCCGAGGAGGATGTCGGTTTTAGAAAAATGAAGTCTCGCGGCAGGTGAGCTTGAGCTGCACTGTTAAAGTTGACTCGAGCGTGTTTAACTTGACTGCTGAGCGAGGAAAGAGTTGGGTATATAAAGGACCCAGGGCCGCGTCACTCAGCCTCTGTGATCATACTCTATAATCCTGGAGAATAAGGGGAGTGGGGCTCGGTTTACGGGGGAGAGGGGGCCGTGATTGGCCAGACAGCGCAACAGTTGTGGCATGCTGCTTATTTTTAGGCGCTCCTATTTGGGCTGCTGGGGGCCGGCCGGGGACTTGATGATTGTTGCGAATGTGTGTCATGCTCAGGATCCAAGTGTCTGAACAATTGAGCTAAGAAAAGAAAGTGAGAGGTGAGGTGGTCCCTCTGTCCCCCCAACAACAACGTTTTTACAGAGGATAAAAGTAAAAGAAAAGTGGAATTGTAAACTCTGAGGCCTTGGAGGGTAACATTTTAAAGGATTGAGGTCACCCTGATAAAGATGATGAGTGCATTACGTGTGTTTGACAGCTATCTGCCAACCCTGAGTGAAATGCATCTCAGTGTAGACAAGCAAAGGTCACTACAAACTCAGGGAAGGTTATGGAAAGATACTTGATATTGAAGAAAAACAGTTTATTTATATTTTATATGAATGTTAATGCACCATCAAGCAAAACCATGGTAGTTAAATATATTGTTTAGTTAATTTCCCAACAACAACAACTGTGGGTTATTGCCTTTTAACTCACTACATTCAGAATGTATTGCTCAATTTTCACATTAAAATGCCTGTCAGGCCACAAGATCGTCTTTTTCTTTTTTTTTTACTTATCAAGAAAGGACAAACTGACTTCGTAAATTGACTGAAAGCAAATTAGTGTCACCTCCAACTGTGTCAACATGACAGGGTGCATTGATCGAAGATGAGGCTGTGTACAGAAATACTCTGAGACAGTTGACAGCCTGTGCGCATAGTAAAATTGATCATCTGTAAACAAAATGAGTCATTTCCAATACATGTTGTGTTGCTGCAGGTTCAGGGGCTGACAGGCTGCTGTGACTCAGCAGTCGGTGACACCAGATGCCAGCAGCGACCTCGATGGTGGGAGGTAAGAGTCACTGTGACACATGCTGGAGGCATTCTCAGGACGCTCCGTCTGCGCACTGCCAGGGGTCCCCCGTGTTTATCTCTCACTGTGTGATGAAGCACTTTGAAGATTTTCAACCTTTTTTTTCCATTTTATGCTTATCAGAATATTTCCCCCCAAAATATATTTTTTTAGTATATGGAAATAAACTTTAATACTGGTATTTCAAAAATGTTTTCATCTTTTAGGGTTGTAAGACATGGATGGCAATAATTCCGTATTTCAAATGAACAAGCCATCAAATTGTACAAGTCCTTTTGATTCTTGTCAGTGTCACTTTGTCATATTTATGTATCCCTGTGTGTGCATTATTTCTGTAGATATAACGTGGAGCATCTTACCGTATATTACTGGGTAGGTTTATCTACAGCATTATATTTTATTGGATGATCATACATTCTGTTACAATTAAACTAAGTTAAATTGTTTTGTACAGTAGTTGTTTAAAAACTAGAAGGTGCAATTTGCCATTACAATGCAGCAAAGATTTTTAATTTTAACAGAACTTTTGGCCATTTTATGCCTGTATTTGACAGGAACAGAGTTGGGGTTTTCAAAGTACCATAATATCACATTTCTCAAGTAAAGCAGAAGAACTTCAAAATGTATTTGATTATTCAGTATTCGAGAAAACTGTGTGTAAATGATTTTTTTAATGTGATTTTGATAGCTTTGATTTATCTTTTCATTGATACACATAATCCTAACTTGATAAATCAAATCAAGTTTTATTTATATAGCACATTTAAAAGCGATTTTTGGTCGAGCCAAAGTGCTGTACATGTAATAAAAACACATTACTACAATCACAATAAAAGACAATAATTTACAACAGAAATATAAAAAACAAAAACACAGGGAATAGTCAGGTGTCATGCTCCGCTCTGACTAGAAGGCCAGATAGAAAAAGTGTGTTTTTAGTGAGGATTTAAAAACCCCTAGTGTCTGGGCCGACCTCACATGGAGGGGCAGACTATTCCAGAGCCTGGGGCCAGCTGCTGCGAAGGCTCGGTGACCTCGGGTTTTGAACCTGGTCTTGGGCACTACCAGCAGCAGCTGCTCAGCTGACCTTAAAGCTCTGGCTGGGGTGTAGCGCTGGAGGAGTTTGGCTATATAGGCCGGAGCCAGCCCATTTAGGGCTTTGAAAACGAATAAAAGGATTTTAAAATCAATTCGGAACCGAATTGGAAGCCAGTGTAGTGAGGCTAGAATTGGGGTGATGTGGTCATGCTTTTTGTGGCCAGTCAGAAGACGTGCAGCTGCATTTTGGACTAGCTGCAGGCGTTTAATTGAGGCCTGGTCCATACCCACATACAGAGCGTTGCAATAGTCCAGTCTTGAGGTAACAAAGGCATTAATAACCCTTTCTAGGTCTTTAAAAGATAAATACGACTTGGTCTTGGCCAATAGTCTTATTTAAAAAAAGCAGGATTTGACTACGGTGCTGACCTGCTTGTCGAACTTAAAAGTGCTAGTGAAGGTCACTCCAAGGTTCATGACAGAGGGGAGGATTTTTTCATTGAGAGAGCCCAGAATATCAACCGGAGAGGCTGGAGGTTGGGGTCCAAAAAAGATGACCTCAGTCTTGCTCTCGTTGAGGTTGAGAACGTTTTTGCTCAGCCAGGATTTTATCTCTATCAAGCAGTTCATCAACTGCTGTAGTGAGTGTTTGACATTTGCTTTGAGAGGCAGAGAGATCTGTACATCGTCGGCGTAGCAGTGGAAGGGAATATTGTGTTTAGTGAGAATTGAACCTAGGGGCAGTATGTACAGTAAAAAGAGGATGGGTTCCAGGATAGAGCCCACAGGTAAGAGGGGCTTTAGCAGAGGAGAAGGCACCTAGCTGCACTGAGAAGCTACGGTCTGTCAGGTAGGACCTGAACCATGCAAGGGCAGAGCCTGTGATGCCTGCGGACTGTTCAAGCCGTGACAACAGGATGCTATGGTCAAGGTTCAAGGTTCAAGGTTCTTTATTTGTCATACGAACATAGCTACAGAGTAGTTATGTCGATGAAAATCTTAGGTCACAGGCTTCTCCAACAGTGCAACACAATAATACAGAAAAACAGAAAAATATAGTGCAAGTAAATATTAAAAAGTAAATACAAAAAGAAAAAAAGTGAAATAGTGAAATAAGAGTCTATATGCAAGCTATTGGAATGATATATTAGATAAATAGATAAATAATTACTAAGTAGCAGATGAATGTTATGGATGTTGTTACAACAGTTCAGGTTCACAGTGTCAAAGGCAGCTGTCAGGTCTAACAGCACCAGGACAGCTGAGCTACCTGAGTCGGCGGCTAGGAGCAGATCATTAAAAACTCTTAAAAGGGCTGTTTCAGTACTGTGCATGGGTTTGAAGCCAGACTGAAACTTTTCATGGATGCCATGCGTGGTTAAGAACGACTGCAGCTGGACATAAGATAGAAAGTATAAAGTATGTGTAAACTAAATTAAAAACCAAAGCACAGATTTACATAGACCTTGTCACTGTATACTTGGCATTTAATCCCCAGCCTATGGCTTCTCACACTCAGCCTTCCAAGTTTTCTAATTAGCTTTTTCCCTGTTAGTCTATCAGGTGAATCTATTAAATATTTAAGAAGGGATTTGGGGTGAATTTGCTGAACAGATATTCCTGAGGCCAAGGCCCACTTAATTAGGTTTCCCTGGTGATCTGGCTCTGACATTAAGACTGTAAAGACTGTTGTATTTATTTAGCCATAACTCAGAATGACACAGAAACCTGATTCAGAATCTGTTGGGAATAATTTACTTTAATATTTAATTTAAAGTGACAGATGGTTGCTCAATGAGGGTTAAGCTAACTGTACCCCATGACTACGTCGGCACATCCACGCTACTTTTAGTTAATTAGACACACTTGAACTTAGTGACCCATGTCGTGGCAATGGAGTAATGAGTGTAGTTTAGGGGGCCCATCGACAACGTTGACACGCCAGTTCCTGCCATCTGTAAGGAGACCGTGTCTGTGAGTTATGTCACGTCTCTGCAGTGAAGGTTATTAATATCCATACAACCCGTGAAATGTAATCCCAGCTGAGAGACGGTTGTCACTCAGGTTGACTGGTAGTGACTTCATGAATGAGAACCAGAAATATCCTTAACTCTAAAACTGTGACTGACGGTGAGGACACCATCCAAGAAAAGAAAAGACTCAGACATCACGTGGGGGAGTTATATTTATTTTCTCAAGTCATTACAGTACAAAATAGACCTCGATGTAACAAAATAGCCACAAACTATATTGAAAACCACAATATGTAAAGCAACAAGCTGAGAAACACAGTGCAATATAGAAGCTTGTGAAACTATGATAAAGATAATATTCAGGAAATCATGAAAATAATTATAACATGTACCATTGCAGTCAATGGGAATTTAATTTATATTGCTGATATATTTTTGAATAGACAGTGAAGCATTTGCAGTCCAGTGGCTCATCTTTACCTTTGTTCATTTTCCTAAATAGAAATACAATTGCTCAGGCATTGCTTATCAGGAGTTTGTTTAATGACAAATGTGTCAGCAAAGACTTTTAATTCATTTCTGAATTAAATTGGTCTTTCAAGCAACTAAGGTAAAATGCAATTGAAATGCATGCAATGACTACACAACCTTTCAACAAAGAGGTACTGAAAAAGATTAGTAATGAAAGCAGTTCTGAATAACGTCACCATAACTAAACATTTACACAGCATATAATATGGCTATCAAATATACGAAGCTCTTTCAAAATAGAATTCACTTTCTACAAAGCGAGTACAAATGGATTTAAGAAATATCTCTCCCATAGTACTTTATGTCATAACTATTTACATGGAATACAAAGTAACTTAAATGATATATTGTGCTTCTAAATGTTTTCTAGCATGCTTTTTTTAAACCTTAATTATTTTCACCAAAAAAATACGTTTCACAAATATAAACAATAATCAGAGTCCTTCCACATATACATATTTATGTTTTGTATTGACTGCCTTAACAAACATGTCCTGACAACTTCCTATTTAAATATTTTGTAACCATATTAATTGCTAAAATGCCCTCACAACTAACACCAATCGTCACCTCAGTCACAACAGTAGATCAATTTAAGTGTAGCCGAATGTCCACTGGTGTTTATCTGTTCTGCAGTTTGTTACATAAAGTATGTCGTCAGTAAACAAGGAGATGCTGGCGGACATTTTACACCGAGTACCTGGAACAACCTGCGATCCCCATAAATCTAAATAACAATTCACTAGCCATTTCCTGCTGGAGAGGAACAAAAGCTTATTTCTCCACATTGAAATGATCAAAAATATAACAATATTATAGCTTGAGCCTCCTAAGATTCGCTCCCAAAGTTGCTGGGATATCTTTAATAGCACATAGAAAAACTACAGCGAACATTTTGTAAGTGTAACAATGTAGCTGTGGGCGTAAGATAACTGAAATTCAAATCAAGCTGTGGGCAGGTGAGATGAATCAGAAACTTTTGCAGACTTTCTGGCGTCTCGGTTAAATTGATAATTAAATAGGAAAGTGGAAGTCAGACACAAGACAGGAAGTGACCGAGCCTGGAGAAATAAGAATAACAATAATGTGAAGAAGAGCTCGCTGCTCTGGGCTTGGATTGACAGTTGTTTACAATTGTTCTCATTGTAACTGCATATCATTTGTCTTAGCAATCGAAAGACATCAATTTGATATTCCAAAGTTAAGTTTGGCAGAATAATGGTGGCAGAATAGTTGGTAATGTTGGCATGTTGTTAAATCATGCAGATTTTGCGACATTCAATCCAGAAGCAGAATTTATTCAAAGGAAGGCAACCATTTTAAGTCAAATCGTTCACATAAAATGTCAAACTGCTCTTTGTATTAACATTTAAAGGGCATACTGTATGTACATTTCAGGGATTTCAGTGCATCAAATGCCTATACTCCATGTTCTTCATTATTATCAGCGACATCTATGAACAATATCCAAACAAACAAATAAATAAATAATGGATAAATAAACCCAAAACCACTTGGTGCACGTTAAAAATCAAAACCTTCATTTTTATCACATTGTTAGCTAAAAGGAGAGAAACATAATATTCACAGACACAGAGGAGGAGAGACAAAGCACAACATTTAGTGGAGTGAGATCAGTCCTCTGTTGGCTCTCTGCAGGTCAACTCTTCATCGTCCTCAACCTCAAATGAGACTGAGTGCATCGTTCTCAGTGCATGTATCTTCCTATTAGCGACAACCTTTTCTACTACACGGCTGTCAGCTCACTTTTAGAGAATTCCAGTTCAGTGTACAGACGCGGCAGGAGAGAGCTGGACTGAAGCAGACGTCTGTCGCTGTGCAGATGTTGCCCATCCAATCAACATCGGACGAGAGCTCTCAACAAGCGAGTCATCATCAGCAGCACTGCTGTGGCCGCAGTGATAGTCAAAATGGAGTTCCAACCTACCTCACTCCCCTGAAGGAAGACAGGAAAATAGTGGTGTTAAGAGTCAGCAGAGGCTATTCCTCAGGCACAGATAACATGTATTAGGCTAAGGATTAGTTTAATATTTTGGGAAATATGCTGATTCAATTTGTACAGAGTTAGATGATAAAAGTGTTACCATTCTCTGGAACTGGGGACAGGAGGGGATTAGCGTAGTTTAGCATACAAACTGAGGCAAGGGGAAACAGCTAGCTTAGCTCTCTCTGAAATTCAAAAATAAATGTCCTCCTACAAGCATCTCGTAAACTCCATATAAAAGTATGCATCCTGGTTGTTGAATCCATACACAAATCGTTTTTAAACTACTTTAAATAAGAATTTGTGGTTTAAGGGTGGTTAAATAAATAACCAAGTTTACCCGTCCTCCCAAATGCTGTCTTCATTGATTGTGGTGATACCAAACACCAGAGAGTTACAGCGACCGGCCCACAATTTACGGCTCTTGGCGCCCCCAAATACCACAAATTGTTGTTATTATATTATTTGTGTGTACAGATTAAACGAACAACGTGTTAATTACTGAGCTTCAGATGTGCTAGTAAGTATATATTTTTATTTTGGACAGCGCCAGGCTATCGGTTTACGCCTGTTTCAAGCCTTCATAGTTAATCCAAAACCTTACTTGGAATCCATTCAAAACCACAAAATCTACATTCACATTTTTATTTTGAAGGTGTTTGTTTACCTTTCTATTTAATATCTCTTCAAACTCAATCATCAAAAATGTGATCAAATATGTAACAATGTTTTGGAGATCTTCAAACCACCAAAACAGAAAAAATTGCTAGTATTGTTTTTATGCAGATTTTAGGGCCTTGTTGCATGAAATAACATTTAAAAAAGGGTCATAGTCGACCTGAACATTGAAGGCGTTTTCTTATCTAATTATTGGCAAAACAGCACATTTACATTTAAAGTCATATTTTATTCGAATTTGCCAAACTGCCCACCCGTCCCACGTCCACCTTCCATTAATGTTTAATGTTATTATCTACCTTTATTCACTTCAGGCAAATTTGGCTTTTTCTTCAGTTTAGACCCTCCCATACCAACCACCACTCCAAATGAATCTTGAAAATGTTTTTATATTAAATGGTCAGTCCATCTAAATAACACAAAAACATATTTTCTTACTTACGTCTGGCAGTATCGAGCCATGCAGATGCCATGCTCAGGTTTTGAGATATTTTTCCTTCAACCCAAATGAAAGTGAGGTGAATTTTAAAAATATAAAAATCCAATTACACGTCTTAACGTAAAAACAGTATCCTTAATATTCTGGATTATTCACAGAATAGACTTTCTCTCTACAGTATAGTACCTATAAAAACTGTTTCTGTTACTGATAGTTTCTGTGAATAATCCAGAGTAAACAGGAACAACATTTTTCCACTTATTGTTTTTGGGGTAAGACTCAAAAACGGATATCTCAACACCTGAGCAAATAGAAGCAAAACTATCTGCATAGCAAGATAAGGCCTGGCAGAAAATGTGTTTTTATGTTATCAGTGTGTAAGAGCCTTACTTAGCATAATGCATCAGATAGAGATAAGCTCCTCCCATACCTTGCCCTCTGGGACGCCAGCTCCGACAACCAGCACCAGACCACAGCCAATATTACAATCATTCCTATGAAGGGGATGGAGAGAACAGGGTGCTCAGACGGATGGATGAATCTCTGAGGAGGGAATAAAAACAAACACAATACAATGGGAATGAAGGGAATGAATGAATGGATGGATTGAAGTATCCAAATAATATATAAACACAGATAAAAAGGTGTGACAACAAAACAAATGGACCACCACAACAAATCTCTAAATCAAAAGTGTGACATGGTCTATGACTGTGATATAAAAGGGAGGGGTTTTGATGGAGCGATTCACATTTGCTGTTAAATAAACAAAGCATAACTTTAAGGTGACATACACATCTTCAACTCAGTGTAATAATGTGCGAGCAGTGCTGTGTGGCATTTGTTGGCAGCGTGTGATGTAATGGTGACAAAGAAAGACAGACATACAGCATGAATGTTGTGACTAGCGTATGGTGGTGTTTTTGTCTCTCTATCCTCATCTCGTAGTTTGTTTTGATGTTTTGTGATCGTACAGGCTGAGAGGTCATGGACATTCAGAGGACAAGGACAGTATCAGAGACAGGCACGGGTAGACAGTTTGACGCACACATCTCATTAGGCTGATGAAGACAAAACACAGAGTGCAAGTACGGTTTGTTTCTCATAAAACATAAGGGACCATATTACAGTAAAGTATTTAACATTTCTTCAACCACTGGTTTTGTTCTTTGGTTTGTTTTTTAAAGTATTTTTGTAGGAAAATACTCTGTAATTTCCTTTTAAAACTGTATGAAAATCAACTTGCAGAAAGTCTGTCTTGGCTTTGAAATGCAGTTAAATCCCCAGATTGGCCTCGGGTCTGTAAATGGAACAGTCACACTGTGCTGCGATTGCAAAAAAAGTCAAACCCAGAGGACAAACAAAAGGCATAAGATGGTTAAGATAATGAGGTTCAAACGGTTCAAATTAACAGTTTTGTTTTTCCCGTGAGCATTTGAAAACACATAAAAACTATCCATGCTTTCAAACACTTATTATGCAACACATGATAGTGCGACTCTGTGACTAGAGAAAAATAAAAGGAGTGTTATTGTAAGAACAACTTATTTGATTTGACTGCAAGTTAACTTTCACACAGCACCTTATTAAAATGAACAAAACAGGTCTTAATAAAGTAAAAAGGCAATCTCAACGGTCCTTTCATTACTTTTTCTCAATTGAAAAATATAAAACACCTACAAAGGATTTAGTTATTGAAAATAGGGCATTCTCTGCTTGACGCCTGAATGCCTTTTTTGCAGGTTTTGTATTTTTGTCTGATAAAAGTATTAAAGCACAGCTTTCACACAGAAGTTAGAACACAGACACAGCAGGGGGGATGTTCCCCAGCCCAATGCCCACAGTAAATACTGATATGGGCTGACAGGCCAGGTCAGTTCATATCAAAACAGATTTTTACAGTATGAGACACATATAAAGGTTTCAACAGACACAGGGTACAGTAGGTGTGATGTGAGGCGTGTTGGTTGACAGTGTGAGTGCAAAGAAAAAGCATTTTTTTAATTGTGTAGTCATCATAGCATAACTATTTCTAGAATATTTTCATATTTTCACATTCATTTAAAAGACAAAAACACCTGCACTGCAAATGCAAATCTAACTACAAAACTGACACAATCACATACTGTATATATAGCATTTACATCAGTTTACCTACTTCTGATACCAACTGTATGTTATTGTATTATTCATGTCTGCCCCTCACCTGAGCCCCCCCTAGCTTCTGCAGCTCAGCCTTGCAGCGCTGCAGCTCCTCCTCCAGCTCGGTGCGCTCCCTCTGACTGCTGTCGTACATAACCTGCAGCTCCTGGAGCTCCGTCTTCAGCCCGTCACACTGAGGACACACAGGACACACACAGGTCACACTGAGGACACACAGGTCACACAGGACACACAGGTCACACTGAGGACACACAGGTCACACAGGACACACACAGGTCACACTGAGGACACACTGAGGACACACAGGACACACTGATGACACACAGGACACACACAGGTCACACTGAGGACACACACAGGTCACACAGGACACACACAGGTCACACTGAGGACACACAGGACACACACAGGTCACACTGAGGACACACAGGTCACACAGGACACACACAGGTCACACTGAGGACACACTGAGGACACACAGGACACACACAGGTCACACTGAGGACACACACAGGTCACACAGGACACACACAGGTCACACTGAGGACACACAGGTCACACAGGACACACACAGGTCACACTGAGGACACACAGGACACACAGGTCACACAGGACACACTCTCAGGCGCTTCCCTACAGCAGGGGACTGACTGCATGTATTAAGGGGAGACGCTACAGGTAAAAATATAACTTCTAGATAGAATCGGAGGGATGAAACGCTCTTTAATGGTCACACATGCAGAGCACACAGCACACACAGTGAAATGTGTTCTCTGCTTTTAACCCATCCTAGTACTAGGAGCAGTGGGCAACTATTGTACAGCGCCCGGAAGGGTTGGGGGGGTTGGCCAGTGCCTTGCTCAAGGGCACCACTGCAGGGCCCAGGAGGCGAACTGAGACCTCTCCAAGTAGCAGTCCACACCCCATATTTAGGTCTGTTCGGGAACTTGAACCGGCGACCCTACAGCCCCCAGTCCAAGCCCTGATTGAGCCACTGCCGGACTAGATACCACCATGGAAGTTCCACAGTTGAATAATAACATTAAGACTATTTTGTTTTGTATTAGCAGTGTTTTGAAATGTTAATTATAAAAAATAAATATTCAAATTTGGCATTGTCTTGAAACATTATTTAGTAAATATGTGCTGATTTCATACATTTCCAAAACATAAATCTGAACATTGAATCCAGTCAGGTTACATTTTCTTGTTTCAATTTGTTGTCAGTATAAGAGTCAATTTTTTAAAGAGAATGTTTTAGATAACATTCCATAAATCAAAAAATACTGCCCTTAGTCATAAAAAAAACATCTATTTTCGCTAGGTTTTCAGAAATAAAATGTTATATAAATCGGGGTATGAATGATTTATGACTATACCCCTCTGTAAAATCCCTCAGAAGATAGATGGGAATACAACTTGAAAGTCTGGTGTATATAAGCGCTGCTGCAGTGGAGATTTCTGGCTCAGAGCAAGAGCAGAAAACAAAAACAATGTTTTTTTCTGTAATGTCTCACCTTGCAGCAGTATAATAAGGGTTGGACAGCAGGGTGTTTGATTGAAATCAATTTTCCTATAATGGCTGACCCACATCATCCCATGTTTTATTCATATTGTGAACTCCCAGGGCACCATACCTCTCTCTGGACCTGTGAGGCCTTCTCCTCCGCCTGTTTGAGCTGCTCCCTCAGGGAGAAGATCTCCCCGATGCCCCCGTTCCAGCTGCTCTGTGTCGCGGGCTTCCCATCAAAAGAAATGTTCTTCTGGATGGAGGCGTCCACCAGGCGACAGTTCCCAGACTGGGCCATGGTCATGTAGCTCTCCGTCATGACCTCATCGCAGCCGGTCTGCATATCCTTCCCCTCTGAGCCCTCCTCTCCGTCTTCCTCCTTCAGAGACAGGTAGACGCTGGAGCTGGAGGAAAAGGAATAATTGTGAAAAACTCGAGAAACGTTTGATTTCAGCTGCAAAGGCCTTGAGCTCAAACATTGGCTCCAAATAGGCCGATCATTTCCCAGATGAAAGGCTAAACGTGTTTTTTCCAGCAATTATTTAGTGAGAGCTTGTTAGCGTTTGTGTTGTCACATTTCATATGCAGAGATTTCCTCATGACGTACACAACATTTGATAACTGATTGAGACATTATGTATCTAGCCAGCCTTGTAATAGGGCTTCAACTAAAGATTATTGTCATTTTAGATTAATCAAATGATTGCTTCCTTTGTTATCAGTTAATTGTGTGGTCTGTTAAATGTCACAAAAGGCCCATCACAAAATAATTGCTTATTTTGCCTGACCGACAGTCCGAAACCAAAACATATTTATTTTATTAACTTCAAAAATATGCAAAACAGAGCAAAGCAGAGCTGGAACGAGAGCATGTTTGGCATTATTGATTTGTGAATTTAAATTGAATAATCATCATATTAATTGGTATGTTCTGGACGTAGTGCTTACTGCAAATGTATTAATAGTATAACTTATTTGGTGGGTTATACTGTATCTCTGTGTTGTATATATTGTGTTTCTCCTAACTCATCCTTTCCCTTTCTATTCCTGTAAAGTAACATCGGTTTCAATAGCGCTATAAATAAAGTTAGAAATTGCTTTTGATTTATCAGGACATCTCCATCAGCAGATGCCCAGTTTCCCATCTGCTGAGGGAAATCGTGTGATGCGCTAAAAAAAAATCAGCAGCTGCTACATAGCTCGTGTGAGGAAATAGTTTTTAAGGGTCAAGAATTAACTTTCAATTTCAAAATTGTTGTCCATTATCTTTCCATCAATCTACTTATCATCTAATAAATGTGTGTGTAATCCCTCGTATGATGTTACAGTTGTACTGCAGCGATTAAACAGGTGGCCGGGCCTTTCTAAATGAGACGTGGCGTGAATGACGAGGGTAATATTCCAGAGGGATCCCCTTCCAGCTGATGCAGGAAGCACAGCTGATGAGAGAGCAGCCGTCGACCTCTCACCATGTCCTCTGTCTCTGCAGCAGCTGCAGCCTCTCCGTGAGACGCCTGTTGTCCTCCTTCAGGGTCTCACACTCCTCCTTCAGCGTGCGGCACTCCTCCTTCAGCAGGTCCACGTCACCTGGCAGGACAGAGAGGTCAGACAGAAAATTGTTAAATGGATTGTGTTTATATATCACTTTTTCCTTTTTTTGTCACCATTCACACCCATTCATACAAGGTGCCACCTGCTCAGGGAGACTAACATTCACACATCGTTGGCCCTGCCATCGGGAGAAACTCGGGGTTAAGTGTCTTGCTGAACGACACATCGATGTGTTGACTGCAGGGTCTGGGGATCGAACCACCGACCGTAAGATTGATAGACGACAACACTACCTTCTGAGCCAAGAAGAGGTTAAGAGAAGGAAGATAAGGTGAGCTCATCTTGAATGTTACTGATTGAGACTTTGATATAGTCACAACATCTTAAGAGTATACTTAAGGAACTCTTTCCTTGAGTGGTTCAGTAAAGTTGATTCAACTTAAGTTAATAGTCATTTAGATTGATGTTAACAAATTAGTTATCTAGTAATGCAATAGTTACACTTTAAAAAAAATGTTGTCCCAGATATACAATTTTACTGATTTGAAAAACATTGTGAAGGGTTAGAAATGGCTTTATAGTAAACTGACTAAAGGCATTATTTGGACGGCTACTACTTGTTAAATGGTCTTGTCCATCATTGTTTCTGATGCATCAAGAACTACTTAATATATTATTGTGATCTTCTCTTTTAGCTATGAAGGTATTATCTAATCTAATGAAACAATATAAATGTTCGCATTACTTAAAGGTAGGGTAGGTACTTTTGGAGAAACCAGCTTGAGTGCGCTAGAATTTGAAAATACACAACCGGAAAAAATCGGCCACTTCCTTACAGAGCCCCTCCTCCAACACACACAAACGCGCACATGACCAATGAGGGCACGAGATAAGTTTGTGCACAGATGGAAGGCTGACAGGCAGGTAGGCCATCCAGTTATTTTAGCCGGGCCGGCTAAAATGATTGGTCGTGCTTTTTACAGTACTACGGCTTCCACAGATGACATTTTTTAATGTATTTATTGTCAAAGCATTTCATATATTCATTGCTATCAGGATGTTAAGAGCATTCCATGGAATATAACAAAAAGTGTTTCTGAAATAAATGACATACCCCACCTTTAAGCATTCATTAGTTAAAACATTATTATCATTTATTTGTATGTAAACCGTTATTGATAACTATTAACTAAAGCTTAATTATCTATCAACAAACCATTTTCAAATAAGGTTATTATAAAGTCTTAGCACTAATATGACTATGTTTAGAGTTAGATGAGTAGCTTGATGTCAACCCAATGCCAATTTGTTAAACATGAAGCTAGCACCAGTTGCTAGTGAGCTTATTTTAGCTTAGTTTAAAGACTGAAAACAGGGGAAACAGCTAGTACGGCTCTGTCCAACAGTAACAAAATCTGCCTACTAGCTCAATATTAAAATATCATATCTTGTTTGTTTAATCCACACAAAAGACTAAGTGTTAAAAGACATTTTGATGTTTTCTAGAGGGATTTTAGCTGGATTGTGCCTTGACTGTTGCTCGGTTGCCAGGCAAAGAGGGTAGAATCCAGGAAGTTACTGGTTCTTCTCACCACATCGTGTCAAGAAAGCAAATAAGCGTGTTTGCTCAAATGTCAAAAACTATTCCTGTAAAAGTATTGCCCGCTGTGAGTTAGATTTCACTTCAATATTAATGCCATTCTGTGTGATGTTTACATGAAACAGCCCAGTATGAAATATCATGAGCTCCCCTCTGAGACTGCAGAGCCCAGCGATGATATCATGTGTTAGAAGAGTGTGTCCCTCCCGCTCATGACTTCATGTCCCTGGTATTTTAAATGCACACACACACTCACACGTACACACTCAGACACCACTCCCCTTGCAGCACTCAGCATCACATTTGTAATATTTATTAAACCCCACAAATGATTAATGTTCTTGACTGCGGGGTGCTAAGCTGATATGAGGGTTGGAAGAAGAACATCTATAACATCATGCTCCGTTTCCATAATATCAGGCACAAAGACTGATCGTGGACTATTTGTACATTCATGTGAGTTTGATAAATGTCTCCCACTAATGGCTTTATACATGTGGTGTGAAGATGAAGTGTCAATACGGGACTTGATTAATCTTATCTATTATGTACTGTAAGTAAAACAATGTTGGAAAGAAGGAGAAGGTATGTGTGAAAACTACCAAAACCACCTCGGCACTCTGTTCCACCTTCCTCTCTTACATCCATCCCTTTTATATTCTATTTTATTTTATTTACTTGCACTATTTTATCCATTGTATTGTTGTTGCACTGTTGGAGGAGCCTGTGACCTGATATTTTCATTGTCATAACTACACTGTAGCTATGCACAAATGACAATAAAAGCCTTGAATCTTGAACCTATTGTGTTTTCCTTATTATTTCTACACCTCCTCTCCCCGCCCCCCTCACCCTCTCTCCTCTCGGCCACCCTACGCTGGCTCTTCATGCTGATCTCGGCCCTCAGCGTGGTGATCTCCAGCTCGTACTCCTGCGTCTCCTCGCTGAGGCGCTGCAGCTCGGCCCGCCGGCGGCACAGCTCCTCCTGCAGCGAGGCGATGTCGAACTCCCTCTCTGCCGCCGCCTCGTCCGCCGTCTGCTGCAGCAGGATCACCTCCTCCTGAGCGACTCGCAGCTCCTCCTGGGCCTCGGCCAGCTCGCTCTCCTTCTCCTCCTCCAGGCTGTCCATCTCCTCCTGCACAGAGCGCAGCTGGGCTGTGGGGAGAGGAGGAGGAGAAGTGTGGCTTTATGGGGGATGTGTAGGTGGGACTGCAGCATTACTATAGATTTATATATTTGAGAGTGTGAGTGCGTGTGTGTCTCACCTGAGCTTTTGCAACAGGGGGCTTGTATGTTTTTGTGAGTGGGTGGAGTGCTCGTGTGTTCGTGTGTGTGTGTGTGTGTGTGTGTGTGTGTGTGTGTGTGTGTGTGTGTGTGTGTGTGTGGGTGTGTGTGTGTGTGTGTGTGTGTGTGCTATATGAAAGTGGAGCTGATGTAACTGATGGAAACAGACCTTTTCTCAGGGTGTTGTCCAGACTATATGTTAACACAAAAATAACACCAATAAAACCTTTGATAACTCAATTAAACACTTAAGACCTGATTGTTGTATGCATGCAAATGCAATAGTTTGGCATTCATCCAACTGACTGAAAAAGAAGTAGCAGCTTAAAAACAACACTTTATACATTTTCTTTGTTTATTTCTGTGCACAGATTGAGTTTGGAGTTTTTTTCTATCTCTTTTCTTTTGCTTCATTTGTTTTCAAATGATGTACTTTGGTGGGTTGGGGGTGTGTGAGTTGTACTGTTTGTTCTTAGGTGTGTTTTGTTGACCCCTTATGATTAAACACAAACAGCTTTTTGAAGAATAATTGTGTGTCTCTATGTGAATGATTTATTTATTTCAAATGGAATTTAAAAAATGGTCACAAATAAGAAAATGCCAAAAAGAAATACAAGCTTTTAACGTGTTCTTGTCAATCATATCCTGGCATACTTATTTAGCACTTTCTGTCTGAGACTATTCAGTAGAGAACTAGTAGGATAATAGAAATCCCTTACAGTGATATACAAGATGTTGATTAACGCTCACAAATTGTTCCGCACAGGCAGCAGACAGTAAATCCGCATGACCTTGACTATTGAAAAACATGAGAAATGTTATATTCAATATCTGTATTCGATTCTGTTTTGTTGAACAGTCATAGTTATTTCCTGGGTTTATTCAGGGCATAGAGCTTTATTGCTGACGTTTTATTTATTTTTGTTGATACCTTGCAGATTCTGGATCTGGCGGGTGAAGGCTTCAGCCTGATGGGCGCTGGTCAGACGCTCGTCCTCCAACAGATCTGTCGGAGAGGTGAAGTGAGCGGAGGGGAGGATTTGGAGAGAGATAAGAAGAAAATGTCAGTTCCGCAGCCAAAGAGAAAGATGACATCTTGATAAGCTCTTCAACCTTGAGGCATGTGGGAATGACACAAGCAGATCTGTGTATGTCAGTGTGTTAATACATGTGGGCCTGACCAGCATATTGTATAAGATGAGTTAGGATATGAGTATATTTTCACCTATTTTTCAAATCAGGTCAACAAAAGAAATAAAGCAGATTAATTTGGCTGTGCTTTTAGTTTGCTGCTATTTTTCTCTCTCTGTTTCATTTGGTCTCTGTTATGCCAAGTCCTTTCTCTAGCATGCTTTGGGCAGATCTAAATATAGTTTTAATACAACAACAGCTTCTAGATGAATACAGAGGACCTTCAATTGAGTCTGTATATTCTTAAAGGATAAATTACTACAACATACCAAATACAACCTAACCTTACCTTTAGCGGTATCCAGCCATATACTGTATATATATTTAGAAATGCATTTTTTTGTTTCAATAAATATGAGGGATAAGTCGGTACACTAATTTTATCAAGACTAAAATGTGGTGAACAGTAAACCAGCCTCACATCAACAAGATTGCATAGTCATTGTGATGTTGTTGGCGTTCAATGTAAATACTGCTATATTTTACTATATTTTTTAATGCTATTATAGTTTTTTTGAAATAGTTCTCTATCTGTGTTTTTAATTGATGTTTTACTTGTATGTATGCACAAAGACACCAAGTTAAATTCCTCGTACGTGTCAACCTACATGGTAATAAACCTGTTTCTGATTCTGAGGGTGTTTCTCAATCGCAAGTAAAGCTGCTTCAGAGCCACTATTTCAAGCATACTACGTCATCGAGTGCCGCCGAAGTACTGTTCCAATCTCCAGCATACTTGAAAATCTACCGAGCCCGGCTTACTCCGTTTGGAGAAATATCGAGGCTGCACATTAGTAGACTCCGCGGTCTTAAAATCCCCACAATGCTTTGCGCATGGACCAATTTCCCCAAATCTGTGGCGGAAGATGTAAGGCGGGGCCTCTCGTATGACGCACACCTGCACACTTGCTAGCCTGTTCCACTCTTCGTTTTCCGAATGCCAGGAAGTATTCTTGACTCGCTTCTGAAGCAAGATGCTCGGCAGACATGTGCTACCAAGCAAGCGTACTCGCGATTGAGAAACACCCTGAGAGTCAATGTGATCATGTTAGCATTCTGATGATAGCATTAAGCCGCGGTACTTCTTCACAGGGCTGCACGTTAGTTAAGTTTTGTTTGTGTCACTCATTGTTTTTTAGTGTTTCCTGTTTTATTTCTCCTCTTGTTACTGATCACTTCCTGCCTTGGTGTTCTCCCTCCAGATTGGGGGTGTTTCTCAATCGCGAGTAAAGCTGCTGTAGAGTCACTATTTCAAGCATACTACGTCATCGAGTGCCGCCGAAGTACTGTTCCAATCTCCAGCATACTTGGAAATCTACCGAGCCCGGCGTACTCCGTTTGGAGAAATATCGAGGCTGCACATGAGTAGACTCCGCGGTCTTAAAATCCCCACAATGCTTTGCGCACGGACCAATTTCCCCAAATTTGTGTCGGAAGATGTAAGGCGGGGCCTCTCATATGACGCACACCTGCACACTTGCTAGCGTGTTCTACACTTCGTTTTCCGAATGCCAGGAAGTATTCTTGCCTCGCTTCTGAAGCAAGATGCTCGGCAGACATGTGCTACCAAGCAAGCGTACTCGCGATTGAGAAACACCCTTGGTCTGTTTGGCCCTAATTAGTTTCCCCTTTCCCTCGTTAGCCCTGCAGTCACCAGACCTCCTGCTCATCTGTTCCCATTTCCCCATTACTCTTTCACAATTTATACTAGCCTAGCTCCTTTGTTCTTTGTCAGTTTCTGTATTGGGTTTTGTTTACCTGTTACCTTCCTGCAATTGGACTCTTATCTGTTAGCGATAAATCACTTAACTGCTGCAGGCAGCCTGCTTTTTGTCTGTGTTTGGGTCCTTCCTGACAGTTGTGCTCTACAAATTGTGAAAGACTAATGGGGAAGTGGGAGCAGGTGAGCAGGAGGCTGGTGACTGCAGGGCTAACGAGCGGCAGGTGAAACTAATCAGGGCAGAAAAGAAAACTGGAGGGAGAACACGCGAGGCAGGAAAGTTTCTGAAACACAAGCAGAGGTGAGTCAAATAATATACTAATGAATGACATACAAAACAAGTCCAGGGCAGATTATTAAACTATCAACAATTGTCATGAGCGTTTTTATATTGAGACAATGTTTCTAGCAAGACATCTCAAAGAAAAACTACACTTTCTGTAAGGCTATACACCATACCACTCGAGGTAAATAATTGAATATAGTGTGAAAATATAGCAGGGAGTCTAGTTTGCTGTACTTTCCCTGAGGTAACCGAAAATTCAGCAAAACTATTCTGCTTTACATTTTTCTACTGGTGGATATAATGTCATTCCCACCCCCATTCTCATTTCCTGTCCTGTCTCCTGGTGAGTGTAGCATGATTTGCAGCTTGTATTAATAATCCTCTGTAGACCCTTGATTTGATTTTTTTCTTCACCTCACCTTACATCATTCTCTGACCATGTCACTCAGGACCCCCACCCCAACAGCTGCCAGCATGGGGACAGCTGACTGTCCTCAGAGGGAGTTTAACAAATGTGTTTTCTCAATGCGATTTAGGACACCCAGTCTGGAAGCCTCCCTCAGCATGAACACAGTTGTCTGAGGAATGCCTCTACCGCTGCCAAACAAACAACTGAGCTCACCGTGTCTTTTAGTGTGACACAGTCATATACACACACTCATAAATATGCACACACACACACACACTGAGCTCACTAGCCCATACCCAAGGCCTTACTCACTGCTCGTGTCCCTGAACATTAAGCTCATCATTTCTAAGCTATGATGTGATGCTCCATTTAGCGCCTGTGAGGAACTGACCGTGTCAGTGACCGCATATAAACATTACGCTTCTACAAGTTCAACTAGATTGTGATGAACCGGAGACGTCGGGATGAGTAAAGCTGTCCAGGTAGAGGAAGGAGTTTTCTTCTGTGGTGTGAAAACTGATAAAAATGTAAACTATCACTGAGATGGAAAAGTGCAATGTTTGTTTTTTTACTGCAATATTGATTAAATATGGAATCCATGATCATGACATCTTACTACATAAATTAAGCTGATTTATAGCAGGAAGACTCCAGATGGCAGAAGGCCCATAAATGTAAATGTTTAATCGCTCATTAAGTTTGAAGCTTTTCTTGTTTATTGACAATACACTTGAGATGAAGGGAACTGAATGTGGATCTTAGTCTCTGTGTTGTCCACTTTGTTTTATGGTTTAACATTTCACACATGAAATGCAGATGCAGGAAACGCAAAAGCGAAAATGATAGTGATCAGTGAAATGAGGCGATTAGTAGGCACTGCAAAAATATTGTCGAATGCAAACGGCAGATAAAGACAGTGGTCGAGCTTTTAAATACATCATGAATGGTCACTCTTAAAAGGAAATTACTTTATAGCCCGAATTGGTTCAAATTGGCCCCTTTTTTAAAGCATCACGTATCAACTTTTGGTTCAACCTGCCACTGACTTAGCCGCCTTATGAATGCACACACACCATTAAGCTGTTGCTTGCTCTCCATTCAGCCTGTGTTTATGCTAGGATCCCACTGTGCAGATGGCATTGAATTGCCACCATATAATTAAAGGTTAAAGGGGACTCCAGTTGTGGATAATTGTGACAAAAAACATCTGCCATGCAGTTACATATGCTACAGGGACTTCTAGCTTATTCAAAGATTTTTTTATATTACATTGTTTTAACATGTATTTCTTTAAAGATTTGGCATCTCTCTAGCATTGAAAGATATATTTAAATGTTTGGGCTGAAATGACAGTATTTAGGTTATGTGGAAGATGTTTGCATGTGGCTTAAGAGCTCTTGATATCAGGTCAGATGGCTGTAAGTAAATAATGGATACAAGATTGTGTTCGAAGACGATTAATGATTCAAGGCACTAAATAATGAATATATAGTGTAAAGGTAGAGCATTGACCTTGCAGCTCGTGGAAGCTCTCCTGGTGTTGGTTGGAGGTTTCTCTGGCGTCGTCCAGCTCCAGCAGCAGCTGCAGCACCTGGGCCCTCAGCTCCTCCAGCTCCTGCTCCTCCGTCAGCGGCTCCTGCTCCTTGTTCATCTTCTCCTCCCCTTCGCCTTCCTGCTCCTTCAGCTTCTTCTCTTCCTCTTCCTGGTCCATCGCCTCCTTCTCGTTGTTCTCCTGCAGGATGCCTCTCTCCTTCGCTGTTATCTGGTTGTCCATGGTGGGGCTGCACTCTGCTTTCAGATCGCACGGGTCATCTGAGGAAAAGATGAGAGTGAAATTTAAGAAATGGGATTCATGATATTAAAAAGAGAGGGTGACAGGAAGAGAGATGACTAGGTGAAAAACCTCTTTGTCATCAACCTAAATTGATTCGAATACAGCACACGGTTTTCTTTTGGATCAACAGCACCATCTTGTGATCTTATCTTGCATTGAGTCTATTGTACACCAAACTCTATTGCACTCATATACCCCAACTACACATAACGGTTTTAATATAGAAAAAAATACTGACAACACTTCTGATTATAATAGAGCTTAGTTTTTTATAGAAAGGGATAAAAAAGAAATCCAATCACGTTTGGAAGAATGCATCAAAATATAAGCTGTATAAACTGTCTTGGCTCAAAACGTTTTGATACTACGTTGTTATGAATTGAAACATTATCAATACATAATACCTGTTGATGACCACTGGTTACAGTTTTAAGACACATCTGTTTTACATTGGTTTATCCGCTCATTGACTTAACATTTCTGACCAGTAGGTGGAGTGAGTAAGCCGACACAATGCGGAGAGAGAGACAGAGGGGGGGGGGGCTGTAGCTGTATGCTGAAGCAATCATTATGACTCACCACTCAGCAATGTACCTCCAAGTCCATAATAACACAAGCTAGTACGAGAGATGTGACAAAAACACGTTTCTCTCTTGTATTACACCGTGTCAAATTTCATGGCTGTCTGCAGTTTTCTATTGTTTTGTTTTGTGTTGATTTTCCTCGTCCGCATCAACGTCCTGAAGAGAGTCTACAAAGCCCAATGAAACATTATGATGTATACTCGATTTGACATGATTAGAGCTGTTGGTTGCCAAGGCTGCAGAGATGAATGCAGAGCAGGTCAGAAAACGAGAAGGGAGGGCATCATTTGCAGCACAACAGCATGAGGGTAAATTCTCATTAGACGAGGCAGAAGAGTCTTTTCCCATTAGTTAGATGAGATTTGCTGCCAGGCGGGAAACGGCCAGAGCTAAATGCATATTATATTCACAGTGTCGGTTTGCTCTCAGGTGCAGTTAAAGGTTAAAAGATCATTTGTGCCACAGTAACTGTCTCATCCAAGGACATTTTGCTTACATCTCACACTGGCCTGAGACCATTTCTCTCTCATTTCTCAATAACATGCCCTCCGCGGTCAAGTCCAATCTCAGAAATAAATTGATGTGCAGCATCTACTATTCATTTTCAAGTGGTTTCTGAACATGTATGTCTGTACTGTAAGCAGTGTATGGAAGGGAGAGGGGAATATTGTTTGCCGAGATGGGAATAGAGAGATGGGACAGGAAAAAAGTGCAGCAGGGGACTCAGCAAAGCATTAACTAAAGATCTATCTAATTAGAAGTGATGCTCACCGGGGTAATCCTGGCTCAAGGGATGCTTCCATCTCTTGTGGTAATTATTTCTCTGCCTTGTTGTTCCCCTCACGAGATGTAACTATTTCCATCACAACCAAGCATGTATTTTTCTAATCATATCTATAGCAATAGCAGCAGGCTGCATCCTTCCTGTCTCATAATAGTCCTCATTTAAACAATGCAGCCCCCCTAAGAGGCATGTGAGAGGTTTCATGAGCACTGGGCTATTTTGTCATTAAACTTTGATGCTGGTGTAATGAGTTAGTCATGAAGAAAGGGAGCAGGAGAGAGGGGCCGGAGCTGCTTGTACAGCCAGCGGCGGCTAAAAGGCCATCAAGAGACAAAAAGCTCCCCACTGAATAATCACTCGCATCTGAATATGTAGCATTTAGACTGCCCTACAATGAGCACAAACGATAGCCGATTAAAAATCAACTGAAATATAGGTTATAGTGCAAGGCTAGTTTAGTTTAGTGCACACTTGTTACCCGCTTCCTGTAGCTGCTGCTGAATTGTCTTGGACATCTGTTAATATGAAAGCCCATCTCTACTTTCTTTAACTTCCTCTGATGCAAATGTATAAGCTTCTGCCTCTCACCATATCATTCTGTGCCAATCATTAACTCTCTAAAACCTTCCTAGAGAGCCATCCCTATACGTCCAGTGTTTCTTCTTGGCAACTCCCATCTGTGTGTTTATCACTTCAGTCCTTAAGGAAGCTTTATCGCCTCACCTTGTGAGTGAATGTCAAACACATTGTGCAGCAGAATTGTCTGCAATGACACCTGTGATCACTCCACAGCATACTTGGCTCAGTGCTGGTCTTTAGTCTCGCAGGGATTGCATTAGACATGGACACTTCTTGCATACAAGAGCGATGGAGGCATCTCAGGAGCAGAGTTACCGCTCCAGGCAGAGGATGGCTTTATCTGGCCTGTACATTCCTCCGTAATCACGTTGCAGCCAAACACTTTGAGTATGTCACTGCGAACATTGTGCCACTTTATAAAACAGACAACAAGCAGGGCTGTGTTGTCCATCAGCATTTCAGAAAAGATGTCTGAGATTAAATTTGAACAGTCATTTGGCAACACAAGCCTGTTGTTTTGCTTCTGATTTGGTTTTCGGAGATGAAGTGTGGAGTGTAATTATAATTGCACTTTGCCTGATTGAAGAGGAGTGAGGATTTGACCTGGCAGCGCAGCAACCCTTCTCCATAAAACACTTCGTGTGATTTTGCTGTTAGACTTTCAGTTCTGTGTATTAAAGGGGCCATAATGTGCTTATTTAGAGGTTCATAATTGTATTTTGTGTCTCAACTGTGACATGTTTACATGCTATAATCTTCAAAACGTGCTTTAATTTTCTCATACTTCCTATGCTGCAGCACCTCTTTTCACCCTCTGTCTGAAACCAGAGCCCAGTCTGCTCTGATTGGTTAGCTGGCCGGCTCTGTTGTGATTAGTCAACCGCTTAGAGATGTCCCGCCCCTTAGCCTATCACTTACAATGTGTTGGAGCGATTTTAGTCTTTGCAGTCCATTAACATGCACTAAAGCCTATATAACACACTAAAGGAAAAGGAAACCCAGAAGGCATAATAGAGCCTATTTAAATATGCAGCAAAAACTGAAATCCACAAAAGAAAATCATTATAACACTATAATAATAAAGAGTAGATGGCAGTATACCAAACAAGATATTTCTGAAAAAGAAAGATACTAATTTGTTATACTTTATGCTTTTATTTAATCAGGTGCGATGTCATTTCAAACGTGATATATTGCAAGAAAGCTTCTCTATGTAACACGTGGCTCTCTTCCCCTGACTGCTGGTTATATTTCTCATTTCATTGTGGTGAGAGGAACATCTGGAGTCAAATCAGCTGTAAAAAGAAATGACGGCTCACTGAAACCGGAGCTGGAGGCTGTGAGCAGGTGTAGTGTGATGGAGCCTCGTGCTGAACCAAGCTTGAACATGTTAATGAGGAGAAATGTGGTGAGGCACTGTAAGAGAGAGGTGTGTGTGTGTGTGTGTGTGTGTGTGTGTGTGTGTGTGTGTGTGTGTGTGTGTGTGTGTGTGTGTGTGTGTGTGTGTGTGTGTGTGTGTGTGTGTGTGTGTGTGTGTGTGTGTGTGTGTGTGTGTGTGTGTGTGTGTGTGTGTGTGTGTGTGTGTGTGTGTGTGTGTGTGTGTGTGTGTGTGTGTGTGTGGCTGCACAATAACTTGAAAGTCTATTCTCGCATTTTGGACTAATAGAATATCCTAATCGTGGTAAGCGCAATCTTTTTTAAGGACAACATTTGCAAAAGTTATCTGAATAAAGTATTGTGGAGCCGACCTAAAAATTATTCTACACATTTATTTAAAAAATCACATTATAATTTTGCGTAATTTTCGATGATAATGTGAATATTGTTTCATTCCTTCTTACATCACACATCATATCGCAATTTTAAAAAATCCATATAAACACAAATAGTTATTTCTTTAAACCGTGCAGCCCTAATTCTGTGTATAAAATGTATGCATGAGTGTGTAATTGTACTTAAACCTGTGTGTGTATATGCAAAATGGTGATATGCAGGCTTGTGTTTCATGTTGTATTATCTCTTAGGCCCACTTGTGATGAGTCCATACTCATATATGATCACACGTGTTTAAGCTGCAGTCTGTGCATATATGCCATGGAGCTCTGCAGCTGTGTGGGAGGCCATGCATAATGCACACCGCCCCAGCTTTGAAACCAGCCCAGCACTATGATGCTAGCTTTTCCCCTGCACTGGCACACTTCCTCGGCAACACATAATTTGGGGAAGGGAGGTAGGAGTCGACAAATCACGGAGAGACTTTGCAAGAGCGAAATAGGAGCAGAGGAGGAGAAAACAATAAGAGAGATGCAAGGAAGGTGGAGTTATGCAATGGCCTGGGAGATGCTCACTTCCTCATGAAACTAAAAGGAGTCAGGTTAAGCATCACACTAGTTTATCTCTATGGTGACCTCTGCACACCAACAACACAGGGATACACCATCTGGAAAGTCACCTTGGCGATAAAGCTGTTTTGTGCACACTTTTGCTTGGCATTTGTCTGCTAATGCTTTTCCCCACAGAGAAGCCCACGTGATCTTATCAGGTGTCCCTCCATAAAGCTCACTTCATAGTGAAGCCGGCATCATGTGAGATGTTCTGACTCCAAACTGTGAGACTCAGCAGCTTCAGACGAGGAGCGAGCCACAGGGATGGAGGTCTTTAATGAGGTCAATGCGAGTTGATCTCTTTCCCTCTGTCTCTGTAGTTTGAGCGTGAACACTCCAGGGAAAGTGAGGAACAACTGCAGCCCGTGACGTCAAGAAAAGAAACGGGATCATAAGCACCAAAGAGTAGGACTGACTTAATGAGCCACTCTGTTATTTAAATGGAGAATCCATGTTTGCATTTTCAAAGGGAATAATAGAAAGTGGGTCAACAGAATAAAGACATTGTAGAAAGAGATACTGTATAAATCAGCCTCATTACATGAACATGCACAAAGCGTGTCAGTGTGTAATTACTGCAGGTGACAGATTCAGGGAAGATGTTTCTTCATGGGCGTACGTGGTGGTGCCCTGTTTGTGTCTACATTTGCTTATTTTGCATTAAGGGATATGAAAGAGAACAAAACATGAACACAAATGATGTATTAACAAGCATTTGTTGCCTCCCACCTTAAATCAATCTGTCAAAGATTTTAAATCACTTAAATTGGCCCTGTTTCAGGTTCATATTAGTATTTTGTTTCTCTTCTGTTACATGTTTCCATGCTTTAATGTTCAAAAAGCTCTTTATTTGTGCTGCAGCAGGTCTTTTCACCCTCTGTCTGAAAACCAGAGCCCAGTCTGCTCTGATTGGTTAGCTGGCTGGCTCTGTTGTGATTGGTCAAACGCTAAGAGCTGTCTTGCCCCTTAACCTATCACGTACAATGTGTTTGAGGGCTAGCCAATGGAAGTGCGAGTGTTGCATAGTGATGTCAATATGTCGCAGAAGTAAACACAAGAGTCCAATGGAGGCGTATCAGGCAGGGGGGGGGTAGTGTGTGGGGGAGAAACTCCCTCTGGACGGAACATTGGGATTCTAGCCTTTGCAAACCATTTACATGCACAAAAACCATATGACAGACTACAGGAAAGGGAAAACCCCCAAAAAGCAAGATAGGGCTCCTTTAAAACGAGGAGGAAAGACGGGGCACCACAGCTCGTCAGGTAGCGAATCCAAAAAGCATAAAGACTAATGGGGAGAGAGAACGCACTAATGATAGGTTGTCTGTGCCAAGCCTTTTTGCAAGGGGGGAATAAAAGTATTTTAAATCAATAGCTTAAGCTGCAGGAAGGAGTTATGAGTTCATGAACCTTCTTTTTTCCCCTGAAAGTATGAGGATTTTGTTCCATTATTCAACTTAGTGAGAATTAAAAAACATGTGGCACACTCAATTATTTCAGGTACCTGCAGAGTGCATTGAAAGCTTGTTTTAAAAGGCTCTAAAGTCTGATGGGATAGGATGGTGCAGGGGGGAGGAAATGGGATGCCTGAGGGTGGAAAAACATGCAAGATTTGTTTTCATTTGATTTGCAATATTAAACAGTGATGTGAGAATCTCACATTGTTGTTTTTCTCAGAGGTCTTTGCAGCTCCCAGATCTACAAAGTTTGTTTACAGCAGCAACTTTGCTATTTATTAGATTTAAAGAGCTGAGATAAACCCTGTTTGGCCACCCTTTGGGAATATTGCTGATGATGTGCATTTCACAAGGTGAGAGTACAACACTGGAGAGGGAAAAGTCGGAGAGGACAGGAGAGAAACAATGTGTGGGTTGAGGCACTGGCAGGTGCAAAGGTTTGTGTCTCTATGCCTGTGTGTGCACGTGAGTGTGTTGGAGGGTGTGTGGGCGCTGAAGAGAGCAGAGGACTGCGATGGAAAGAGGGGGAAGAGATATTGTGTAGGACAGCAGAGGAGAGAGAAGGATGGAGGGAGATATGCTCAGTGACTGGTGCAAGTGGGAGGAACAATATGGTGGCCGACGGCTGAGATCAGCTGCTAATGGTGTTTTATTGATCAGTGGGAGCGTGTGTTTGTGTAAAAGCATCTGTATTCCCTGTTGGTAGATGTGGAAAGTGGTAGAAGCATTAATTCCAGGGTAGTATGGAACAACGTCCCAACAGGGCTGAAAATGCATTTAAAATAAAAGTGTCAGATTGATAATTGACCTGATCCAGGACAAAATGAATGCACTTAGATCCATTAAAATCCCAGGGTGTATGAAATTCAAAAAGACATGAGTTTATACCTTCCATCACCCAAATCCACTTCTTTGCTGTTTGTCTATCGTTATTATGATCAGGATTCACACTCCATTAAACCACACACTTGCCATCACTAGATGCTGAATTTCTGGCTTTAAAAGCATGCCTCAGGCTGTGATGAAAGGAAAGTGGTCTCCAGAGTTTAGACGGCAGGAACAAGCTTGTTAGGAAAGAAGCTTTTCTCCTGAGACAGCATCAAATGCTATGATGGTCAATACGCAGGCATCAGCATAATGTAAAAAAAAAAAGGAAATTACACGCTAACAACAAAGCAGTGTAGTAAGTCTACAGCTGACTCTGAAGAGCAGGGGGGCTTTGAGAGATAATTTGCATGCTTGTTATTGAAAGTTCAGTTTTAGGACATGTACTACGCAGGAAAAGGAAGCAACATGGCCGCCAGTCAGAGGGCTGTGACCTGTGGTTCTCTCTGAGCCCCTCCACACCGACAAACATCCTCCCAAACAGGAGGGTCCCACACAGAGCTGCTCTGTCTTCACGCCCATACAAAACATGAAGAAAACACACTCCTTGTTGTCGGACACACATGAAAACATTCCACACGTTCTTGATTCTGTGAAAATGCACTGTGCCCAATGCCACACATTCATAAAGTTACCAAACAAGCTCAACAGCAGCTGTCGAACCCAACCATTATATGCAAAGTGAGTCCACCACAAGCATACATGGTGAGCTGAAAACAACCTTAGCATAAAAAGAAGCTTAATAACATCCAGACTCCATCCATTGTCATCATCATCAAGTTTAAAAAAAAAAAATTACAAATACAATCAAAAGACATAATGGAGACATGTGAAATGATGCCCAATAAGCTGTAGGAAGCTTGAGAACAGGGGCCCAGACAACAAATATAATGTATTTACATTATATATCATTGATACATATAGAATTGAGAGAGTTTGTGTATTATTCACAACATTACAACCCAAAAACATACCCCATACTAACCCAAACCCCTATAAAAAGGAAACTACTGTAACCATAACTACTAAATGGTCTAATATTTAATTCATTAGTCTCAGAATAACACATGCAGCCCCTCTAACACAGCCTTGACTAACATGCCTCTGGGTGCCAGTCCTCTATATTTACCTGGCAGCACGTTGCCTCCATCAAAGGTCCACAGCTGACAGAAATGCAGTGTATCAGCTCGGCACAGATCCTAATAAAGACAGTCTCCTATAATAATATCCCCACTTCCTACCAGCTGACCAGCTCTCTGCAGCTCCTCAGCCAACAGCCTCAGCTCACACTTTCCCTCGCTTTGGCAGTAAACACTCTTTCTCAGCAGAGATAAACATCGACCCCTCTACCTTTTCCTGCTTATCTGTAGTACGGGTGCTAAAAATAGCCACATCATCGCGATTAAACACACACATACACACACTGACAAACAGCTGAACAGACCTGTAGAGTCCAGAGCCTCCTCGATGAGTGGAGGTAAACGCAGTCCATCCATAGCCCCCTGTAGCTGCAGCGGAGAGGGGGAGACTCGGGAGAGAGTGGGCGAGAGAGGGTCAAGAGGCTCCACACGCCCACCTCAGCTGCAGGGAGAGAGAGAGGCAGAAACACACGGAAAGTACTGAGCACTAGTACTCGCCACTCACTCACACACACATGCAGGCTACGATGCACATATGCACACACACACACAGAGGCTGAACCTCGGGAGAGTTTGGGTCCGGGGAGCTGAAGGCTGAGCGCTCCGCAGCGTGGGAGAGATGCCGAGAGGGAAGAGGGGAGGAGCAGGGAGGAGGGGGATGCTGTTTTCCAGACGGCAAGCTCTCCCTCCCTCCCTCCCTCAATTTATTCCCTCTTTTACCCCAGCTATTTTAAATACACAGTGGTGGAAATGTGACCAAGTGCATTTACACAAGTACTGCTTAAGTATCAATTTGAGGTACTTGTACTTTTCTTGAGTATTTCCATTTTCTGCCAATTTATACTTTTACTCCATCACAGAGGGAAATACTGTACTTTCATTTATTTGCCATTTCTAGTTAGTAGTTACTTTTTAAGTAACAAGTAACATGATGTGTCTATGATGTATAAACTATTAATCAACTCGGTAGAACACAAAGTATCCAAAATGTGCTTTACATTGACAAATTACAAGATTATGTATTTATTTTTTAGTGATACTGAAAATAATTGTATAACATTTTATAATAATACAACACTTTTAAAAGTGCTATTCTGCGCAACAACAAAACGTATATTTGCATAGATGCACAGATACATAAAAAATGTGTTAGATTTCATCTGAGTACTTTCTTTTTGATATAGTTTCTGAATCTTTTCCAAAAATCTAAATATATATGGTGGTATATCCTGGACTTTCATTACATTACATTACTTGTTACATGTTAGACGCTTTTATCCAAAGCGACTTACATACTCAATACTGTGGGCAATCCCCACAGGAGCAATTTGGGGTTAAGTGTCTTGCCCAGGTACACAACGACATGCTGACTGCAGTGGGGTTTGAACCTGTGACCCCCTGATCCGAACACCAACGCACAACCCACTGCGCCCCACTTTCCCTTTGATACATTAGACCTTGTTAAATAATTGCAAGATCAATCCACCGGTGTGAAATAGTTGGCAAGAATAGCTGATCTCCAGTGAATGGCAATGCATTCACCTGCCAAATGCTGAACCCATACATATTTCATAATGCAAATTCAAACTGGCTTGTCTAGTTCCAATAAACTAAATTTACGTTTTGTATACCCGAATACAAACAGCTTTCAAGAAGAGCTGACAGGATCACAGCACCAAAACATTTCAAAACTCTGTCTTTGCTTCGTAGCATTCATTCATCTGTGCTTGCTTGCATACACACACATTAACACACACATGCTTCCTCTTACCCTCATGTACAGCCTTGGCCCCTAAGCCAGATGAATTTACCTATAATGAGGTCCAGACAGGCTGTTGCTGTGGAGGCTGACAGCTACCACCGCAGATTACTGATTATTTCCCCTCCATTGTTCATTTCCTCCCCTTGCTGACTCTCTTTCTCTTTCTGTTGACTGCTTTGACAGTTGTGTCAAACACACATACACACATACCTCTATTTTCATCACTTCCCTTCACACACACACATCTCTTTCTCTCTCTGACTGTCTCTCACCTCTTACTCACTCTTTCTTCAGCCGCTATCACATCTGGCAACTTCTGTGCAGAACGTAAGGAGCCAGAAATGTGAGGTGTGCCGTGAAACAGTCTCTCAGCTTGGAGAGAGAGGAAAGGAGGGTCAGGCTTTACCATTAGCTGGCCCAGTAGGAGGATATTCCTATCACAGCACTGTCAAAGAGCAGGAAGTGCACACAGACGCACAAACAACACAGTCAAACACATATGGAACCTGCCGACATCTGAAAGAGGAAATGTAAGAAAAAAACAGAAGTAAGTGCAACGGAAATAGAAACACGGTCTACATGTGGTTGTGAACAAGAGTAAATGGATAAAGGGGAACCAGACTGAAAAGATAAATGTCCGCTCATAGACACTTCCTCTACTTCCGGGTGGTTCTGCACAGCTTTCCTCAGGCAGCCATGACAAGGAGATAAAGCATGCGAGCATCTTTCAAAGTTGTCCCACAAAAAGTCTCTCTGACACACAAAGGAAGGGAGAGCGGTTTGCTGACAAGGTGTTGATAAGGAGCTGACAATTTCTTGCTTCAGTCCACCGTGTCACAGACTGTGGCAGGAGCCTGGTGGCAGAGCAGAACGAGCACAGCAGGAATGCAAATACAAGATTAAACCCTGGTCCAACACTAAAATTATTCTCACTGCTTGTTCCAAACTGCTTGCTGAACCAGATGGGTGGGATGGAAGTCTATCTGCCAAAACACACTGAGATGATTGTTGAATGGCTGGACTGTTGGACACTATGAGACAATCAATCACATTTTTCTACAGCAACCTCACCCAAAGTTTTAATTTAGCAAAAGTACAGTATATCCAAGTGCCATATGCCAAATGTCTGTGAGTGTTTGCTCTGTAACAGAGCTCTGTCCCGCCGAGTGTGAGGTCATGCACAGGGAATCCATCCGCTCATACTGTCGTCTTTGTTTTCTCCACATTTAACAAGTCATATGCAAGGCGCCCTCAGAAATGGAGCCTGTAATTGAAAAGAAACACAAATGGACGCACACAGATGCAAAAACACACAAAGGGCCAACAGTGTCTTATCTGCAATTGTAACGTTTTACATTCTACATGCTGCACTCATGTAATTTTGAGTGGAATGATGGTTTCAATGGGAGTGTTTAAAAAGGATTTGCACAAAAATGTGAATCATGAATGATTAGGCGTGCAATTCTTGTGTCTGAGCCGTGACTCCAGGGATGGTGAGGTCAGTTTGTGGGTTGGTCTTTAACTTTGGCCTAGATTGAAATAACTCAACTATTGGATCTATTGCTATAACATGTTGTAATGACATTCAGGAGGATGAATCTTCCTAACTTTTGTGATCCTTGACACTTTTGGTGTAATCCTGTGAATTTTTTTTGACAGATATTAAGGGTGCCCTAAGAGCGTTGACTTTAAATCTCCCACCATCATCAGGTAAAATTGTCAATGTGTCCAATACTTGGATATAAGCAAAGCTCTGCCAAACTAATCAGAATCAGAATCAGAATACCTTTATTAGTTCCACAGAGAGGACATTTACGTTGTTACAGCAGAAAAAGAGCCACAGTAATGTTACATATGTTACATGCATTAAAAGGTACTACGTTTTTTTTTTTAAAGGGTACCACTTTACAATAAGACCCTTATAAAGGGTTTTTTAAAAAGCATAACATTTCTTACCATTGCTTTGCAGATGATCTGCAGGTATACCTGCCTATAAAAGCAAATAAGGAATCTAGGATTGCCTTGCTTAGCTGTCTGAAAGACATAAAATCATGGATGGAAATCAACTTCTTGACTCTCAATGAAAACAAGACAGAGATTATAATATTTGGAGAGTCTGAACTCCTGGATGGCTTTAATAGTGTACTCGGCCCCTTAGCCTCCTACAGCCGTCCCTCTGTCAGAAATCTTGGAGTAATCTTTGACAACTGTTTTAAATTCGACAAACAAATAAGCTCAGTTGTCAAGACAAGCTTCTTCCAGCTGCGGCTTCTGGGGAAGGTAAAGGCCTATCTTCCCAGTAAGGAATTTGAACAGCTAATCCACCTATTTATAACGTCTCGCTTAGACTACTGTAACTCCCTGTATATTGGTGTTGATAAGTGTTTGATCCGTCGCCTGCAGCTGGTCCAAAATGCGGCTGCACGCCTTCTTACTGGGAAGAGACGTTATGACCACATCACACCCGTTTTGGCAGACCTTCATTGGCTTCCTGTCAGTTACAGGATCCAGTTCAAGTACTTACTTGTTGTTTTTAAATCATTGCATGGACTGGCACCACATTACCTGTCTGAGTTGTTGCACCGCCATGCTCCAGCTAGAGCATTGCGATCAGCTCAGCAGAATATGTTGGTGGTTCCTCGGTGCAGGAAAAAGACCCGAGGTGACAGGGCTTTCAGTGTTGCAGCTCCCAGACTGTGGAACAGCCTCCCAGTACATATCCGGACTGCTGAGTCAATTGAACTTTTTAAATCTCAGCTAAAAACCCACCTCTTTGCACTGGCTTTTAATACTAGTTGAACATTACATTTTTACATTTGTATGTGTTTTTTTTTAAATATTTTTCTAGTTATTGTGCATTTTTATCATGTTTTTAATTATTGTTTTATTATTGTACTCCCATTGTCTTATTTAATATTTATTGCCTGTACAGCACTTTGGTCAACTGAAGGTTGTTTTAAATGTGCTATATAAATAAATAAAGATTGAGATTATAAACGGTTTACGAATATTTTGTAATTCATTTATTAATTAGGTTGTGAACATTTTATAAATCATTAATAAGCTTTTATAAGACATGAGATAAACAGGACGACTGTGACCGGTTGCTTGCCAAATAGAGAGCCCACATTTATCTGTACTGCTAAGCCTTATATTGGCTACCTAGCTTACTTCGTCTTCTTCATCAGCCAGCATCCTTGGTATCTGTTGCTCACTGAGTTGATTCTCGCTATAGCCAATATAAGGCTCAGTCATCTTGCCAAATAGTGAGCCTGTATAGTATAGAACTGGTTTATAAATGGTTCTTAATGATTAATAAAGTGTTTGCAACCTAATTATAAACCCTTTATGAATCCTTTATAAGGGTAGTCTTATTGTAAAGTGGTACCAAAAAAAGTTATGATATAAAAAATAAAAAAAAGTTAAACAATTTACAAAATACACATCATGTACAGTAACAGTTATTAGGATTGAATGACATTGCCATCAGCTTCAACTGTTTTGTCTTTAGCGTTTAGCATGGCTGCAGACTCTTTAAAATCTGAAAAATCAGACTGACTATTTTCCTCTTGAGTAGGTGTTTAGGATTAGAGGAAAAACCATTAAGACACAATTCGGACAAACATCATATCAACATCAGAGCACATATGTACATTCGAAGTGTATCTCCCAACTGGGTAAAGATGGCAACTACCTGAAGACTCCTAATGCCCATGTTTGGTTTGTTTGTGTTTACATGGAGCTTAGTCCTATCGGAAAGTTAGGTTGTTAGTAAACCTGGAACAGGTTGTACTTGTTGTTAACTCAGTCTCCAGCTGCAGTGTGCTCCTAATAGGACTTTGGAGAGGATGGATTCGCAGAGGGAGCAGGAGGTGGGGGAAATGGGCCAAAAAGCTAATTTTTGTATCAGGGCCCCAGAGTGTTTTAATCAAGTAGACACTAACCATATGGCATTCAGACTTTAATTAGACTTCATGGACATTGATGGACAGAGCAGAATGAAACTATTATTTCCCAAACAAGCAAATGTTTAATTCTAAGGGCAAAAGTGCCAGATGTTGTTATTTTACCTTTAAGAACTGATTATGATGTTCGTCCAGTGTCAGTGGTCACACAGCACAAGCCGCACTACAGCCATTGGGCCAACATAATTAGCTGGTGGATGCACCAGAGGGATGAGCAGGGTGTCTAATTACTCTCTAGTGACGGTGTATCATTGTCACTGTCAGCTATGTAACCTCGGAGCTGAAAAAGACAGTGATTCACCCCCACAGTCGTCTCTACACCACCGGGCTGCCAGCCTTTAACTCCCAGCATCACTGTGGCACTCTACGGTTGCCTAGCAACTAAAATAAACTGAAGGTGCCTTTGATTTAGGGCATTTTAAGAGGTGATTTATATGAAGACCTTGATGATAAATGTTGCCATGAATCAGGAATTTTCCACCGGCTGATTCTTAGTATTCATCACTGCAGTCTCTGGTCACAGCTGCAGATCTCACAGAGGAATGAGACTGTGGCTGTTTGCTCGATGCAGGGCACATTTTTATGTTATAGTGCAAAAGCAGAGCAAGGGAATATGGCCTGTTTCCATGACACCATCAACAGGAAATGGGATGGGCCCCGTGCTGCCAGAGGAGGGTAAATCAGCGTGGAAGAGAGGTCACAACTTTCCCATAATATCAAATCATGCGGGACTAAAACCAGTGCTGTAATGTATTGAAGGAAGTTTACTCAAGTATATTACCAAAGTACAAATCTGGGTATACCTTACTGAGTATTATTTTCTCGTGCTACTTTATTCTTATGCTCCACTACCCTTTAGAAGCCAATATTGTGCTTTTAATTCCACTACATTTATTTAACAAAATTAGTTACAGGTTACTTTACAGATTCAGATAATTAGCTAATGCAAAATATAAATAAACTATGAAATATAAATATAGGTAAAGACACCCAGCAGTAGTATTTAAAGTAATTAAAAGCAGCTCCACATTTACCCGCTTTTAAGAACACATTAATATATCAAAGATATTAACCCAGTAATTTAATATACATGATTCTGAATTGAGCTATTGTGCACAATAAGTATTTTTACTTTTGGTACTTTAAGTACATTTTGTTACTTTGTCAGTACTTTTGCGCTTTTACTTAAAGGTGGGGTAGGTAAGTTTGAGAAACCGGCTCGAGATCGCTAGAATTTGAAAATACACAACCGGAGAAAATGTGCCACTTCCTTACAGAGCCCCTCCTCCAACACACACGAACGCGCACATGACCAATGAGGGCACGAGATAAGTTTGTGCACAGATGGAAGGCTGACAGGCAGGTAGGCCATCCAGTTATTTTAGCCGGGCCGACTAAAATGATTGGTCGTACTTTTTACAGTACTACGGCTTCCACAGATGATTTTTTTTTTATGGATTTTTTGTCAAAGCACTTAAGATATTCATTGCTATCGGGATGTTAAGAGCATTCCATGGAATATAAAAAAAATGTATCTCGAGCCGGTTTCTCAAACTTACCTACCCTACCTTTAATTAAGATTTGAAATGCAGGACTTTGACAT